CCTCTCCGGGTGCTCGAGCACCCTCCGCGGGAAGAAATTTCTCCTCGTTTCCAGAGAGTTTAGGTTTTCTTTCTCAACGATACTCCTACAATTATTATTATTATTTTTTTTTCCTCCTGCTGATTCTTCCCCGTTCCCCCCCCACCACCTCCTTTTTCTTTTCGCAGCCCGGCTCACCGACGGCAAGGCGAGCGCCCCGGCGGCCGCAGGACCGAAAACGGAAAAAAAAGCCATCGCTTCAAGAAACCCGTGGCCTTTACGCGTATTTGGCTCTAAGCAAAAGGGGAGAAAAAGGCAACTTACTGTTTAGCACCTCACCTGTTTGTAGGCGTAAAGCTCTTTGTGGGCTTGGTGTCTGAGCCTGCAATCAAGATAGGGAGAGGCGTGAAGACAGGCCAAAACACTAGGATTCCCACAACACCCCAAACCCCACGTTTCGTTTCCCTCCCTTCTAGATTTAATCTTTTTTTTTTTTTTTTCCCTCCCCCTCCTCCTGCTCTTTTTCATTTCGAAAACTGGAACGGCCACATGAAGCGACGCGCTGGAGCGCTTGCCAGCGAGCCGGGGCTGGGGCTTTTCGTGGCACTCGAAACGCCGCGTCTCCATCCCGGGCCGCAGAACCTCCCGCAATTTTCCTTTTTTGAACTACGCAATTTTCCGCGCACGCCTTACCTACAACCGTTAAGACCAAGAGAAGCCGTTGAGCAAATTAGCAGCTGGCAGAAATACCCAGGTTTTCCAACCCCTTCTGCTGCCGGTATTTCTAGACTGGACGCTGCCCCTTTTCCTAAGCGATGAGCTTGGAAACCCCAGGAGAGCGGGGGAAAAGCTCTGTTTCTGCTTCAGCAAAGATGAAGGGAAGGAAATCGCCCCGTTACGAGGTTTCCTAACGAAGCCTGATACTCGGGCATTTTCTTACGCTCAAACGCTGCGTTATCTTCCACTACAACATCGGCTGAGCTCTTTCTGACTTCCAAAGTCTGGCAAAGAAGCTTTCAAGGACAAGTCTGAGAAAGCAAAGGACGGCGGTTTCTCTGAAGAAAACCCCAGGTCAACCCCGGTTTTGGAGGAGCAGCGACGTGACATCTTCCATCTGCCATTGCATATCGCAGGGCAGCAGGCAATTTAATAAGCAGCGAGCTAACGGGTTGCCAAAAGCTGCAGGAAAAACGAAACTATATCTTGGGAATTTATTTATCGCAAGACCAGATGTTCAGGTGCTGTATTAAAGCACGGCGTGACCAGCCTCGGACATCGTACGCCGTCCGAGGGCGTCCCCTGCTCTGGACAAGGAGTCGGGGCCGGGTTCGACGCGACGGCGGTAGGAAACCGGGGCGCGCGAGACGAGGCCCA